ACAGGTGTGAGCCCCTGCCCTGTACAGGTGTGTCCTCTGCCCTGTACAGGTGTGTCCTCTGCCCTGTACAGGTGTGTCCTCTGCCCTGTACAGGTGTGTCCCCTGCCCTGAGCAGGTGTGTCCTCTGCCCTGTACAGGTGTGTCCTGCCCTGTACAGGTGTGTCCTCTGCCCTGTACAGGTGTGTCCTCTGCCCTGTACAGGTGTGTCCTCTGCCCTGTACAAGTGTGAGCCCCTGCCCTGCACAGGTGTGTCCTCTGCCCTGCACAGGTGTGAGCCCCTGCCCTGCATAGGTGTGAGCCCCTGCCCTGCACAGGTGTGTCCTCTGCCCTGTACAGGTGTGAGCTCCTGCCCTGCACAGGTGTGTCCTCTGCCCTGCACAGGTGTGTCCTCTGCCCTGCACAGGTGTGTCCTCTGCCCTGCACAGGTGTGAGCCCTAGCAACTCTTGTGTGCAGCACAGGGGACAGAGGAGGCAGTGCAGAATCCACCAGTCAGCTCCTGGGGGCATGGTTTCAAAGCTGGGGTTCACTTGCTTCCACGGGATGGTATTTGCACAGCCAGGCAGTGTCCCACTGATGGGGTCTACACTGGGCTTGAATGCACATGTGAATCCCCCCACATCCCACAGCTTGGTAGAGATGAGAAAGCCAGGAGTGGAACCCTCATCTGCTCTGGCCCCAGTGAATTCATTTCTTAGTATTAAGGCGATTATACTATTTCAGAACTGCCCAGGGTTTCTGACAGATACAACGTTTCTCTGTAGTCTTTCCATCCTAAGACAAAACAAGGAGATTTCCGTGCTCTTGGCTGGTTTCTCCCAGTCATGATCAGTTGGGTACTGCAGTGTAGCAGCCACTGGGGACTGGCTCCATTGTCATCCTGCACCTGCCTCATTCAGGTTTCCCTGGGTCCTTTGTCTAATTCGTTTGTACACACGTGTGTGCTTACTTCTGTGAGGTCTTTGCACCTGTGTAGTTTCAGAAGCCACATAACATCAGACAACCTTCCCTGTCCAGTTCCACGGGACCCCATGTCACAGGCTTTGGGGCTTTATTACAATGGTTAGCCATTTATGAGACCTTGAAGCTTGAGGAAGAGTGTGTGTGTGTGTGTGTGTGTGTGTGTGTGTGTGTGTGCGCGCGCGCGCGCGTTATTTCAGACATGCACAGAAGGAATGTTACAAACCCCAGCGCACTGAACAGGCCTAGACACTCCTGTGGGTTGGTAGCAAGCCCAGGTGCTCAGTCTGCTATCAGCGGGTCAGATCGCGTGTGCTGCTGTGTGTGGAGTCCATTCAGAAGACAGGAGCGCACCAGGCTTTCTTTAACAACACGACAGCGGAGTACGGGAGAGAAAACACTCGAAGCTTGCGGAGAACCCTGGTGTGAAGAGCGTGTGTGCCTGGCCATAGTCGTCAGTCACAGTGGATGCTCTTTAGGGACATGTGGACAGAGATGACGCTGCGGGGTGGTCACAGTTTTCCCACTCTTCTCCTAACAGAGACATCGCCAAGAACGCGCTGCTCCGCTGGCGGGTGTTCATTTACTGGACGTTTCTCGGCGTCTTTGACGCTTTGGTATTTTTCTTCGGTGCTTATTTCATGTTTGAAAACACAACCGTGACCAGCAACGGACAGGTCAGTACTGAACGCCTTGTGGCTTCACTGCTTGGTAGGAAGGCGCAGTGATTGTGTGGCGCAGTTGTGTGAGAACAGCCCGGCCTGTGGTTAGGTGGATCTGTGGAGCAGCTTAGAGGAAGGGCCGTGTCACCTTGGCCAGCGCTAGGGGAAGGTCGGTCCTGAGGTTTTCCTGGCAGGTTCACACCGTGTGTGCATCTCACCCTGAGCTAATCCCCGTGGCTCCGTGGTCCCATCCAGCCACTGTTCTTTGGTGTGGGAGTTGAGTTGTGAGGATCGCTCCCCGGTGTGTGAGCGTGGCCCTTACAGTGAGCAGCTCTGTAGTTGTCTGGGAACAGCAGCGTGATGTTTGCCTACTTGCTGGGGGTTGTTTTATTCGTATCTCGCTTTTTTCTTTTTGCCACTCGCTTCCCTTCCCACCTCAGATAATGACCACCAACACAAGCATGGTAAGACACCCTGGGTTTGTCCTCTCTGTGTTTCTGGAGTGCATTACAAATAAAATATTTCTTGAAAATATTTTCACATGTGACTTCTTCCGTGTGCTTTGTTGGTAGAAGAGCTGTAGCCATTCCTGCCTCTGCTGCACCAAAGCCACCTGACCCTGCAAGGTGTCTGCTCCCTGGGTCTCTGTCAAGGCTTTGGTGGAAGGGGCTTATCACACTGACCCCGTAGGTCTGCATGTCACTGTAAATTAAGGACAGGAGCCTGGTGGGGACCTTGCTTTGGTGGCATCCCTGTGCCGCCTGGAGAGGAAGAAGCGTCGAGTAGACGCAAGTGAGGAGCGTAGCGTTAAGCCCAGTTGAGACGGCAGGTTTGGAGATGGCTGTTCAGACAGACACTGCAATTGACGTCAGAGAAAACTCCTCCCTAGCCATCCCTTCCTTTCTTGTTTACCCAGCTCTCCCCCCATCCCCCTGTCGTCTTCCCCGTGTTGATCTCGTGAACTGTTAGGTTGAAACGCCAGCGTCTGGCCTGTGTGGGCCATTTGTTTGTCGTGTGTTTGTTTCTATTGCCGCCAGCTAAAGGTTCTCTCGTGTTGTGACCCAGTTCAGCTTTACTGGATTTGACCCCGAAGATTCGCTAAAATTTATTTCACTATTTTAAGGATTTTAAGCATTTCTGCAGTTTACTGTTGTCTTTTATTTAAATCAAACAATATCTGCAAACCACCAGCCATAGACATGGTGCCCGAGTGGTCGCCTGAACCTTAGTCGGCCAGGACGCTAGTTCCCAGGAGGCAGCCTTTCAGAAGCATCCCACCGTCTCGTGCGTATCTTAAACACTCAGCCCTCGGCTTGCTGTTCGCTCTCAAACCTCATCTTGCCACTCAAGCACCGTTCATCTGGTGGTCCCCGGCATGGGGGGCTGGGAAAGGGGCACACACAGCCTGGGGAAGTGGTGTGAGGCCGGTGACCGTGAGAGGCATAGCCCGAAGTCAGGTCCTGACCCGGGCCAGCAGCGTGGCATCCACCTCAGCCCAGCTGTCTCAGAGTTCCAGAGTAGATGGAGTACCAGGGACGGACTCAGTGGCTGGCTGAGCTTTCGGAAGAGGGCAGCAGGGCGCTCCCTTCCCAGGCCTTCCCAGAGACTGCAGGGTCTCCAGCTCTCTGCTGCCCTCATGGGAGCTCAGGACTCCTGGGTGCCCTGGCCTGCACTCCTCAGACAATCCTTTTGGTCTCACTAGGCCTTGTGTGGGCTACTGAAAAGATGCAATGTCCCGTCCCCCCCCCGCCCCCCCCCCAGTCCCGCACAGTTCTGCCATTAGAACTAGAAGTGAGACTGGAAAGCAAGCGTCGCAGGCGGAGATGGACTCACCTGAGCCTCCTGCAGGCCTCTGCCGCTGAGGGGCTTCGGCGGCTGCCTTCGCTGCTCACACAGGCTGTAGTCAAGGTTCAGCGTGTATGGTGCATGTCTTGACACAAAAGAATTCCCATAGGAGGCTGGCAGGGCGGACCCAGGCGACACTAATTCACAGGTGTATATTCAGAGTCAGGCATGGTGGGGGAGTGCGCTTTGGTCAGACTGAGGAGATCGGAGACCAGACATCACCTGACACACACTTGAGGGTAGACACCGGCACCTATGTGTGAGGTGGGAATGGTCACCCCACAGACAAGGGAGGCCAAAGAGGAGACCTGGTTTCCAGTCATGCACACCACCCTTGCCCCCCATCCTGGCCCCAGGCCTGTAGCTAAGCTGGTGTTTGGGGGTGTGAGCATATCAGATTCTCAGGACTCACGTGCAGGGGTGACTAGACAATCCTGAGTGTGGGTTTACAGTCTAGTGATTATAATGCTTGATGCTCCTCAGGGAACCAGGGTGCATCTTCTAGATTCTTCGATTCAGAAGTTCATTCTGTTGATTGCTGTTACAGACCTTTCTAGAAAGGTCTTCAGTGTTCCATGGGAACATTCTTAGGTCATATGTAGTGCGAGAACAACAGGATTATGAGTAATTTCTTAAAAATTGCTTATGGATTTTTTTTTTGTACTAACATCCAAAGCCATAAATATTTCATTTTTTGATGCTAGGGAGGCAGTTATCTCGCTCACCCCTGGGGAGTTCCTAGCCTGGTATTCCAGCTGGAATAGTACAGTAGTCAGAACAGACCTAGAGGATGGCTGAGGTAGCTGTCCATGGTGAGCCCGGCACACAGCTGACAGGCGGGGTGTGGAGCAGGCCCAGAGGGGCGCAGAGCTCACAACCGTGACCTTAGGAAGCAAAAGCCGCGTCTGTTACGGAATATTACTGCATATAAAAGTTAAAGTGGCTTGGATTTAAAGGCTCTAGTGACCAGAAAACACGCTATGAGAGTGCCCGTCCTCAGGGAAAAGAATCGAGGAGAGAGGACTGAACTGACCCCGGGCAGATAGGAGGGACTGGCCTGAGGACATGCCTGCAGGGCCGAGACTGTCGGTCAGAGCACAGATGGAGGTCTGTTGTTGGGTCTGGGTCAGTTAGTCAAACAGTGAGGGTGTATCGTCACTAAGTGTCAGTCCTCAGACCATCCGTTCGGGGTGTTGTGGAACAGGAGCCATCAGTGGAGGTGTGTTATTAAGGTGTGAGCCAGTCATACCGTCAGTGTTGGTTCATCAGTTAGACGTCAGTGGAGGCGTGCTTTCAGATCCTGATGAAGTCAGAAGCAGGGGCCTCACTGGGGCATATGACCATCCGGCCCAGGGGCTGGTGTCCCCACCCCATAGATCTTAGAGAATTAGAAGACACTAAGTGACTTTTGGTAGATGACCAGAAGGCTTCCTCTGGAAACAAACAAAATGAAGATTATATAGAAACGACTCTGTGGCGCCACATCTAGCCATCGCAGTGATCCGACACTTGCTGACCAGAGCCGTGGGCACAGGGAGGCAGATGAGCACGTTCCTTAGGCTCCTATCCAGTTTCCAGTTTCTCCCTTGAGCTTATTACGCTTCATCTGCCTATGAAAGTGATGGGTGGTGATTGTGTGTCCTATAGGGCTCAGGGCCTGGTGTCCCACCATGGCCCCGCAGGTCTACCATAGCCCACCAAACCCGAGGAGACCTGGCAGTCGGGGAGGCATGCCCTCCTCCTGTAACAGGTGTGGGAAGAGCACGCTGTGAGTTTACTCTGGCCTGGTGTGAGGTGCTGCTGGGATCCGCGTGTCGTTTGCACCCATGCCCACATCCTGCTGCCATCTGTGTTTTTTAACTCATTCTGTGCCAACTGATGGCACAAAAGAGCTGGGGTGGGGCGGTGGGGCTCCCTCCTGCCAAGCAGAGCCTCTCAGGGCAAAGCTTCCCCTCCCCGCACTGAGGGTCACCATGTGGCTGCCACCTGTAGCTTTCCATTAGACAAACCAACAACTGCTCACTCCCCACCATCCTGTGAGGTAACTGCCCTCGTGGTCTACTGCCCCTGAGTTGTAAAAACATTCCTGCGCCAGGGGGAAGCATGTGGCCGAGTGCTTGTGACGCTCCCATCCGTCACAGACTCTGGGCATTGGTGTTGAAAGCCAACACCATGGGGACCTGTCCCCAGGACCGTGCGGCATCTCTGGTTTCTCCCTGCTGGTGGCAGCAGCAGCACCCACTCTGGTGTGACCGAGTGGCCTCTGACTAGAAGCCCCCCCCCCCCCATGCAGGCCCGAGGGCTTCTATTGATGCTGTCTCTAAGCCCAGGGAGGAAGCGTTTCTCTGGTAGAATGAAGAGCAAGGCACAGTAGCATCCCTAAGCAGTCAGTGTTTCCACAAAATCCTGATGCTTCTGTTCCAGAACTCTCTGGGGTCCTCCTCCACTGGCTCCCAGAACTCCTGCGGGCCATGGGTTTTCACAGAAGCCCAGCTTCAGAATGTGCCTCTTTCTTTTATTGGAAACTAAGCAGAAGCAGAAGTACAGGCTTCCTAGCCTTTTGATTCTTTGGAGTAAAACTTGGAGAAGGTTCTGGAAACATGGAGAGGCACCTTTCACAGACCCCAACAGTGTCCACCTCGTGTGCTGCGTAGGGAACCGTTCTTGCGGAAGGCTTGTGCAGACTGGCTTTCGTGAGAGAAAGAACTTGTAGCCACTGACCTCACGTGTGTCTGTCTATAGTGGAGAAGTGTGCTGGTTCTTAGTGTGACTCATGTCTGTACCTCCCACTGTCCTGCTGCATTCCAGCTGGGAAGGCAGTCCCCTGGTCCTCCCTCTTCATTGGTTGGATGTTAGCAGCCATGGCCGTGGCCAGGGGTCGGGCTGTTGGAGGAGTAGCCTTTGTCCAGTGTGTGCCGCCTGCCCACCTCCGCCTTGTCCTGAGGTCTCCACAGAGAAGCCCTCCCTGATACTGTCACCTCTGTGTTCTGGTGTCTCCTCTGGCTGTCTCCTGAAGTGTCCTAGCAGCTGTACCCCTCAGCCGTGGGCATCTCCATCACCGCAGCCAGTTCCCCGAGTTTGTTCTTGAGACAGGCAGTAAGGTGGACAGCCCTCCTAGAGAAAGCACCACGCAAAACTTGACTCCAGCGTGAGGTCTCTCCCTGCTGAATCTGAGACCTTAGGACTCTTCACAGTCATGTGCTAGTGCCCAGCAGGGCCATTATCAGGGGCCAGCAGGACACTAACGTGAGTCATTCCTGAGCTAGGCTTGGCCTCTGTGCTGGCCTAGGGCCACCTGAGCGCTTGCCTTTTCTAGCTCAGAAAACTGTAGGCCCCATATCCTTGGGCTGAGAGGTGCAGAGGCCAGGGGTCATGCTCTCTAGCATCCGTGTTCGGGATGAGGGAGGAGAGGTGAGCGGCAACAGGCACTCACTTGGACTCTTGTCTCCACAGATGTTTGGGAATTGGACCTTTGGGACACTGGTGTTCACCGTGATGGTGTTCACTGTCACACTGAAGGTAAGTCAGTATTGTGGTCACGCTCCAGCCATGGCTGGTCTCACCCTGTGCTCCTGGAATCCCAGATCCATACTGATGCTGACACCTCATGCTAGGTGTCATGAGTCATCTTTCTCCATATCCGGGTCCCGGCAAATGTACACTGCCTGGTACATGAACTTCCAGGATTGCTCAAAAGGAAATGAAGAGCTGAGTGTTTACAAAAGGATGGAAGCTGAAATTCTCAATATAATTTAAACAGCTCTATTTAAATAAATTAATCTATTTTGGAAATTTTTTCAAAGATCTAGGGCTGTTTAGTCTGCATGTGTCGGCACCACATGGGTGCCTAGTGCCCTTGGGTCCCCTGGGACTGAAGTTACAGATGGTTGTGAACCACTGTGTGGGTGCTGGGAACTGAACTCAGGACCTCTGGAAGAACAGCCAGTGCTCTTAACCACTGAGCCATCTCTCCAGCCCCCAAAATTCAACTTTTAAAGTCAAGTCAGAGTCTATGAAGAACTTCATTATGAAAGTCCCTGAACCCATCACATTGGGTCTTTAAAAGTATGTAAACTCCTCAAATTGTCTTCTCAGGGAGCAGTATGTCAGCATGGAGGATGCCTCGTGTGCGCACGTGCACACACACACACACACACACACACACACACCTGGCCACCCCAGCCGAATTGTCTTCTCAGGGAGCAGTATGTCAGCATGGAGGATGCCTCGTGTGTGCACGTGTGCACACACACACACACACACACACACACACACACACACACACACGCACACACACACACGCACACACACACGCACACACGCACACATACACATACACACACATACACGTGCACGCGCGCGCACACAGGTCCCAGGTGACTTGGGGCAGCCTGGCCACCCCGGCCGGCCGTTTCCTCCTGTGGAAGCGTGGGTTGGTCGCTGTGGTTTTTCTTGGAAGCTTTTGTGGGCCCTCTGCCGTCGTGTTTCGGTTTTGCCTCGTGTTTCATGGTTTCTGGCCCTCCTTTCTGCATGCCCGGACAGTGCCGCTCTTGACAGCTCCTTCTCTTGCAGCTTGCGCTGGACACGCATTACTGGACCTGGATAAACCACTTTGTGATCTGGGGGTCGCTGCTCTTCTACGTCGTCTTCTCCCTGATCTGGGGAGGGATTATCTGGTAAGAGTCCTTAGACCCCATGTGGCTGCAGCGGCCCCACCCCTGTCGTGGAAGGCCCGAGATAGATGCACGTTCTGCACAGCCTGCAGCCTCCTGCACTGCCGTGCAGGTTCCCAGGGAACCTCCGTGCCCCTGGTGTCACGGTGCATTCTGGGACCTCTGGCAGACAAGAGGTTGGTAGTGACGATCCTGGCGTCTGGGAGACACAGAACATGGCAACAGCATGGTCTGCTCGGCACCTAGTGAAGGTCCCGTGCTGTGTCATGACACGATTGTGAGGGGTGGACCTCACCAGCTCCTCTCAGCCTCATCGCTGATGCTGCCACATGGACCCATGCTCATCACCTCAAAATGCCGTTCGTAGGAGCTTGAGATCGACCTTTCCACCTGTGTCCTTGGGGACACGGGTACAGTGTGGGGCAGGGTAGTGTGGCCCATGTCGCTGTGATATTCCCAAAGGACCTCAGCAGCCCACCCTCACATGAAACCCTGACTGAAGGTCCTGGAGAGGGCCAGCCCTGTGACCTGAGAGCCCTGGCCAGAGAGTAGTGGGAAGGAAGGACAGCCACACAGTGTGGCCTGTCTCCATCAGTCTTCCCTGGGTCAGTTGACCTTGCCCTGACCCTGGCCAGAGCAAAGATTCCTCACTCTGCCTCACAGTTCTGGGAAGGAACAACCTTAGACAAGACCATCCTAGCCTCCTCCCTCCCCGACACTCACCCAGGAGACCTTTGTGAGGGCTCCCGGAGCCCTGCAGAGGCAGGAACAGACCCTTGTCCTAAACCAGAAAGCCAGAACTGAGGTCCTAGCAGCCCTAAGTCTCCTGGAGTGGGGAGGCTGCAGTGGGGGCCTGTTCGTCTCATGACTGCTGCACCCCCTCTTCTGAGTTGTGGGTGTAAGCAATGACCTTCCCAGAAGCTCCAGCACCCTGTCTCTGAGTGTCCTCACCCCTCCCCACACTTCATTCTGATGATCACCTTGTGTCGGCATGCAGTTTGTGTGTCCTTGGAGGTGGGGCTTTACTCTATCCCTGGGCTGTTCGTGGTTCCAGGAGGTAGAAGGTAATTCCCAGGTCTTGGGTGGAAACAGGGAGCGTGGAGCCAAGGACGCCATCGTCAGCCCATCAGGAACCATCCCTGTTCCTCTCTGTCTCCTTGGGAGGGAAGCATGTGTTCAGAGCATTCGGTGGCCACTGCTGGTCAATGCTCCAGCACCCCCATGTGAATGCTGCTGTTAGTGTGAAGAACACCCAGACACTGGCCCTCCGGGGCCCCCACTCCCCTTTGGGATGACCGTCTGAAGTTCCTTCCTCCCATTCTCCCTTAGAGACTCCAGGAGGCAGATCCACAGCACACAGGTGGCATGGTCAGGGACCGAGGGCACGGAGAAGAGGGCCTTTGGGGAGGGCTTGGGAAGCAGCATGAGGCTGTGGCATCCCTCCTGGCCAGGCTGCGTCTCACCAGTGTCCTCTGTCCCCCGCCCCCCCCCAGGCCATTCCTCAGCTATCAGCGGATGTACTATGTATTCATACACATGCTGTCCAGCGGGCCTGCCTGGCTGGGCATCACACTGCTCGTCACCGTCAGCCTCCTCCCTGATGTCCTCAAGAAGGTCTTGTGCAGGCAGCTGTGGCCCACGGCGACGGAGAGGACTCAGGTATGGAGGCTGGCCAGCCACTTTCCTCTCCCTGTCTTATGATTGGGAAGTTACTGAGAGAGAGGAGGTGGGGGAAGGAACCTTATTTATTAATTCTGCAATGACACGTGTTTTAAGTTATATTACTTAACACGTGTTAAGTGTTATATTAGGTAAAATTCAAAATGAACAATGCTCAACTTAATCTTTAGACCTAAACAATCAACTGAAAAGAAAAATGAGAACAAAGATTAATAGAAAAAATTACTTTCTGTAAATCCACAAAAAGTGTAATTAGCTGTTACTTTGATCATTGACTAATGGGCTGGGCTGTTGCCCAGTGGTCTGGCAGCTACTTAGCATGTTACAGAGCCTAACTCTGTTCACTCCCTAACTCTGGAGGGGGCAAAATGATTGTTGTGTCACTTTTAAGGGTGTTGGATTTGATTTTGGCTCAAAGTCACCTTTACAAGAGGAAGTGGTGGAGGATGGGGCTCTGTTTCCCATCTCCCAAACTGGCCAGCAAGCTGAATCCTCAATAGGACTCTGCCACCGGGATTGCCTGGGGTTCACTGAGACACAGACTTAACCTCACCCCTGAAAACCTTAACCTCCTCAGGGTGAGGCAGGGCTGTGGGGTCTGCATTTCCAGCAACTTCCCCATAACACAGCCTGAGAACACATGGCCTGTGTGCACAGAGGGCCAGGCCTGCACAGCTCCTGCAGAGAGAGCCAGTACGGAGCCAGGGTCGGGGCATAGGTCCCTCACTAACCTGGCTCCCTACCTGTGGAACCCAAGTCTAGAGTGCAGCCAGCTGGCCATGTTTGGGTTGGGAAGCAGACACCCGACCCCACCGATCCCGCCTTCAGGTTGGTTTTCCTTCTCGGGACTTTGTGCCGGCCATTCTCCCTGCTGTATGCCTCCTGTTACAGTTAGAACACAGTTAGACCTCTAACCTGCTCCTCTGTCGTGAGAGTGGGCAGCTTCACTCAGTGCTGCAAGGAGCAGTCCCCAGCTGGCGCCTCTCAACAGAATGGTGCCAGGCAGTGCTGACTCGGGGACTGTGGGACCCTCAGCTCACAGCATGAGAGACAGCAGGGGAGGCTATCCACCTGCCACTGAGGCCCCCCACACACACACTTCCTCCTAAACACACACACACACACACACACACACACACACACACACACACACAACCGTTGGTCCTGGAGCTATCAGTGCTCAGCTGCTCTGGTTCCATGGGAATGACATTCATTGCTCCTAGTCCGCAGTCCAGCCTGTAGGGATCTGGAAACTGTCCAGTAGCTGTCTTCCATGCAGGCCTAAAGCCTTTGCTCTTCACAAGTACAGCCCCAAGGCTGACAGGTATCTTCCTGACACCTTGACATGTCCAGGTTCACAGTAGACACTCAGCTTCCTGACACACAGACACAGTGGACACAGGATCATAAAGATTCCCAGTGATACAATGGACATTGGGTTCACAGTGTCAGGGACACCGGATGTGTGTGTTCTTTAGCATGCCTTATGCACAGAGATGCTGTGTTCATGGCAACACCCATGTAAAAGGACAGAATGAACATTCATGCACTGCTCATGACACTCCCTGTGCCTGGGGATGTGGGAACACACATCCAAGGCAATGTCTTGACACTTGGGACACCGGGACACTCGCTCATGACAGCACTGGGCAGAGTTCTGACCCCAAGAGAGGCACAGCTCAGGATGTCTCCTGGGTCCCCTGGCTGTCGCATAGCTGTGGTCACCAAAGCACATTCTACCTGGTGCCCCCATGTTGACTGGATACACTTGAGCAAAGAGTTCAGCTCTGCAGGGTAGCAAGGGCGCCTCCCTGCAGGCCTCCTGAGATTTGCTGTGGCCGTACTTGTGGCTTCTACTGTGGGATGCTGCTTTGCAAGAATCTCCTGGAATGGCCCTAGAAGGTGGGTGGGAAAGGCTGAGGCGCTTTCCCATCATCCCCTCCATCAGTGGAGAGGTCCCCACTGCTGTTGTGAGCTCTGAAGCCTATAAGAAGCGTCTCTACTGCACACTGTCCCCAGTTGCCGCACAGGAGGCATAGAGCCGGGAGGAGGCAGGTGTGGCCGGGGTAGGGAGGGGTGGGCCCGTGGGTCCTGGCCTGGCAGCGCCCGGCAGCTAGAGCAGCGGTGTTACTGTGTGCTAGGATGTTTGCCTATAACCAACTTACCTCTTGTCTCTCTCTCCTGCCTCCCTCCCCCTCCACTGCTTTGCCTAAATAACCACTACTTGTTCAAACGCTCCGCACGGCCTCCGGACTGCGGCCTGCAGGCCAAGAACAAGTGCCTTTCTGTTGAGCAGCCCACCGTCTTTATGCTTTCCCAGACCACCAGTGGTCTGAGTTTCTGACCAACAGGTGACCCTCTCTGCCTTCTTCCACGTTGGGGTGATGGCCACAGGACCAGGTGGGGAGACCTTAGTGCTGAGGCCACCCTGAGTGCACTCCCTGGTCTTGTCATTCATCACAGTAACCCCGTCAGGTAACACGGTGACAGCGCACCGCCCGGGAGAAGTACACTAGCGGTGGCCTTTGTCCTCCTCCAACAGAGGCTCACGGCAGGCAGCTCCCCGTGTCCATCGGGGGTCCAGGGCCTTCACCGTTGCTAGACACCGGTGACTCGGTCCCTAGGCCCCTGACAGTCAGGCAGGTCACACACACAGTCAGTCCAGCCTGAGCAAGGTGACTTCAGTTCTCCACTGCTGTGGTGGTAGAGACGGAGACTTCTTCCAACATAGCCCTGCTCTGGGGACCCAGTCTTTAGTGTGGAAACTGAGGAAGGCCAGGAGAGAATGTTCTGCTCAAGCCCCCTGAGGACATCGTGAGGTGGAGTCACACTGTCACTGGCCTCTACTTGCTAGATTCCTGCTCTCCTTTTCAGAATAAAAACCTGGTTTTTAGAACCCCCACCCCCTGTGATGTGCTGCTTTTAATGGCCACTGTGGCAGCACAGAACTTCTCCCCAGGGCCCTTTCCCTAGGTGGCGGCTGTAGCCAGTACCTGCTCCCCACAGCCGGGCAGTCAGGGGAGAGAGCAGCATCACAGTGCTGTGGCGTTTCGGCTGATTTTTCCTGTACCCAAATGTGACGGCTGCATGAGTTCCATCAGTGGAGTTGGGAGGGTTACCCGCATCGGGTTCCTGCCTCACCAGGGCTTACGCCTGAGAAACACCCAAAGCAGAAACGAGCAGTTTCCTTCTATGTGTCTTAAACACCATATTTAACCAGTTAATAGTGTCACAAGATCTGTTAGAATAGATTTTTAGGAAGACTAAAATGTCACAAGGTCTTTGTAAGACATTACATATGCCAACTCAGGCTGCAAACCCTGTTCCCTCTTGACAAAACTTCCTCAGCATTGAGTTTCTTGGACCTGTGCAAAGGTAGACTTCAGCCACGGGGGAGGTGGCACTGTGATCCTGTCTCCTGTGGCCTGAGACTTGGCCCCCGGGCACCATAGCAAACCACACATGCACACAGGCCCTGCCACTACACTTGAGACACAACGGACAGACACGCTGCTGCGGCAGAGCATCACAGGTCTGCAAAGCTCTGGAGGAATACACATCCCGCAGGCCTCAGTGGGGCAGATTTGACGCCAGATGTCTGGGGTTCGCTTCCAACCTCTTCCTAGTACAGGCAAGCGTGACGGACACTGGGCATGTTATATATCAGACTTGCATATATAGCATCGTGCGTGTGTTCACACCGGTCTCCGCGTCCACACACTTGCAGCAGCCTGCCTGCCCGTCCCCGTGCCTGTGTGGGCCACAGCACCATCCTCTGGTTCCTTCTCCTCCTGGACACTTGCCAGCTCACCTGCCCTTCTGCCGTCCAGCCTTGTCTTCCTTCAGCTCTGAGAGCTCCCTCCTTCCTCGGCACTGAGAAACTGGTGAATGGGGACTGGAAAGTGCTTGAAAGCTGCACCACGCCAGGCCAGGAGCCAGCAGCCTACAGGACATGGCCCGTGAATGTCCTGTCTGCCAGGCAGGCTGTGCAGAAGCCACTGCTCACCTGCCAGTGGCGCTGCAGAGGAGGCGGCACACAGGTGCCCGTGGCCTTAGGAGTCTGGATGCAGCCTCTGTGTTGGGAGCAGGAACTTGCTAGGACCTTCCAGCTGGTGCTGGCCCTCTCCCATGGTGCTTTCAACTTGCCTTTTGACCTTACCACTTCTTCTCCGGGTGCAGACTTCTTCGAATGAACCTGTTCAGAGCCGTCTGTTCCCCCTAGAGAAAGCTTGGTGCTCCTTTGTGGACAGGCAGTCCCTGGAGCCAGCTCTGGCCGCCTTGATGGCGTCACGACCGATATGTGTGCAGACCCTGCAAGCAGAGTCCATGGCCTGCCATGGTGGAGAGTGTGGGGATGGTATAGGTCAGTGTAGATGCGGCCTTGGGTCTGCAGCAGCCAGGGCACAGGTCCTGGCCTCCTACGCTGGCCTCCATGCAGACAGACAGACAGCAGCTCAGTGTCTTTCCTCGCCCTTGCAGAAGAGCACCCGACTCAAAGCACTGGCCGATGCCACTTCGAACAGCGACAGGCCCCTGCTGAAGGAGTACTTACCCCAGCCAAGACGTGTCTAGCCCAACGCTGGGTAACGGTATGGCTGCCTGCTGGGCACTAGGCCGGTGTGCTGTGACTCTCAGACTGCCTGCTCTTCCTCCAAAGTTTTGCTGTGTTGTCCCCTCTCCTTTTTATAAGAGTGGTTCGTTCTGGAAACAAACTAGACCATTTTTACACACACATACAGACACACACACACACACACACAGGTAAGTGGCACACCTGAGAGTGAGCTAAGCATACAAGGAGTGTTAAACACATGTGTGTATACACATACAGATGACATGTGACCAGTGCGCTGTGCCCAGTGTTTCCTGATAAGCTGGCCCCTGTCCTTGTGATAGGCACAGCCTCACTTAGAAGCCCCTGGGGTAATCCTGTCTTGAAATGGGAAGGAAGGTCTCCCCCCAGCTGCACTGGACACAAACCAAGTCAGTGTCCAGCGGAGACCGCCAGCTGACACAGCTGTGGTCGGAGTGTGGTCTGGGGACGGTCACCCCGGGTAGGGGGGGCTGCGCTCTGCAGCCTTTGCCCCCCTCCTGGATACCTGCTGCCGTGTGTGCATGCTGTGGCCCTTCCTCAGAGGCAGCAGCCGCCACTTCTGCCTGGTGACTGTAGGCCGAGGGCATGAAAGCTGCATGATGTTGCCCCCAGTGCGGGTCAGGCTCGGACATACTAACCTGAGTCGGTGGGTCCCGTCTTCTCCTGGGGTAGTGGCTAGCCCCCTAGACCGAGGGTGTCTGGGGACCTTGTGAGACCCCCACACAGGCCGCTGGGGACAGGGCAGAAGCTCAGCGTGTTTGCCCCACCACTTTTTGCCCCCCTGCCCTCCTGTGTTGTCCCTGGCATGTGGGATGGATGCCCCTCCGTTGGCACTCAGACCGAGGGTGTTTGTCCCCAGAACTGAAGGCAGACGCCTCCAGGCACAGTTCGCAGGGGATGGGCCCTCTCACCTGCCCCTGGGGTGATACAGCGGTCCAGGGTAGGCTGGAAGAGCTGGGGGGGTGCACCGGCTGTTAGGGTTCCCCAGAGAGGGTCTGTGACTGACGACGGGCCTTCTGTTCTTTTGGCAGAACGTTCAACTTCGGGACAGCGTTTCAGAATTCACCCCTCTGGCCTCTCTGCAGAGCTGGGGCGCTCAGGGCACCAGGCCCCTGGCTGCCCCGCGCAGCTCCCCCTCTGGGAGAGCAGTGTGCTTGAGGCGCGAGAGGGAAGAGTACGCTGTGCTCCCTCCCCGCCCAGGCCTTTCCCGCAACGCGAGGTATGGGTGCTGTAGGTCCAGCCTGGAAACACCCACCTGATGGACAGATCGCCTTCTGTCCCGGCTCTGAGAGCTGTGTGCTTGGGTGCCTGTGTGTGCCTGCACCTGCCCCGCCCTCATCCTCAAGGAGGTGGGGGTGGGGTCACAGGTCACCCACTCGGGCACACAGCACACCGCAGTCTGGACCGTGTGTGACAGGCATCATCATCCTCGGCCCGGAGACCGTACCGACAGATGGGCTGTGGGGAAGGACATTATGCTTGGCTTCACCGTAAGCATCGCAGCTATGAAGCTGGCCGCGCCAGGCCTGCGTGTCCACCCTCTGCTGTTGTCATCCTCTGCTGTCACTTGAGGAGAAGACCCTGTCCCTCTGTCTGCAGCCTTGTACATCTCGCCCATGGGCTCCGCTCACGTTACATCCTCATGTTCCTGACCACGTGTTTCCTGTGTAAACCATCCACACTTCCCGCTAGGGAAGTGGCCATGTCAGACACTAAGTGGTGTGCGTCTTCTGGACCTGTGGCCTTGCTGTGCTCACGTTCACTGTCCCCTCACAAGCCATTTCCCTGGATCATGTCCGAGTCTGTGTGCTGAGGAGATGCTGACCCTGCACACCGGAGCTTTGGAGGCCGTCAGCGCCCCCTTCCTACCACCGGCTGCCTGTGGAAGATGGCATGTATGTGTGTAGATAAGTCACATGTTGACCAGGTCCTCAGGAGTGTAGCGACAGCCACCACATCCCAGAACGATGTTAGTTGACCTTACTGGAAATCATTTGTTTCAGGGGTGCTGGGGAAGGGGGCGGTTTGGGGCACCCAGGCAGGTATTTATCTCACCCGTAGGTGAGTCCCGCACCCAGAGCTGTCTGGGGCTGATGTGGACTCGTCCGTTCCAGTCTGCTGCTCAGCCTGCCTCCACTGGTGCCACACAGATCCATCCCATCCAGGGCTTTCCTTGGCGTGGACGGGCCGTCAGAAGGCCTCTGTACTGTGAATCCCTGCTGCTTCCCACACGGGCATTTCTGTGTCTCGTGGAGCGTCCAACAGACCTTCCATAGAGAAGACGTTTCGGTGTGGTGCAGCCTTTCAGAGAGTGCCAGCCAGAGACCGGGAGAAAGCCATCCCCATCCCTGTGGAGTCATGTGGTAGACCTGGGGCCGTAATGAGGGCCGCAGGCACGGGAGAGTCTCCAACCCGGGAAGCACAAAGCCTGTGACAAGATTACACGAGGTTTCCCTGTGAGCGTGTGCTTGAACCGGGGACCAGCCCACAGAAGGAGCAGTTCTTGGACCCGGCAGCTGGGGGAGTCGGGTGACCGTAAACATCACACCAAAGACCGGGGATGGCCTCGAGCTGTGACAGACGAGAATGTACAGTTCCTCTAAGGGCTGTCCCTGGCTCCACACCCCTCACGCCCCGTCACCCACCTGCGTCGCCATGTGTCAGCCCAGGGTTGGAGCCCCAGTCCACACTAGCCCTTAAATAGTGGTGTGTGCATTTTTACAGCCCTTTTTAAGAACCCAAAACGGGTACAAGTGTAATACCTGTGGGGAGGGGCAGATTCTCTGTATGTTTAGTTAACAAATTATTTGTAATGTATTTTTTTAGGGATCTTAAAATTGCCTTTGCACTGAAGTATTTTCATAGCTGTTTCTATATCTCTTATTCATTTGTTGATGTATCTTCTGATTTTTAAGTATGTTTTTAAAGCTTTCATATTTTAAGTTGAAGAATTTTTGGCCACTTTAAATGCTGGTGAGTGTTCGGCTGAATGTTTCCGTCCCTGCTGCGTGAACTGACTCTGCCCTGTGCCTCTGTGTCTCTGGTGTGTCTGAGACCCACCAGGTGAAGGGCGTGCTGAGGGTGTGACCACACTTCCTTTTCTTGTTCATCACGGTCCTTTGCATTTTCACGTTTTCTGTTTTGTTTTGTTTGTACTTCCATCCTTCAGCCTTAAACACAGAATAATCTTCCTGCAGGCTCTGCGTCCTGCAACCCATTCTGGGTGTGGCGATACTCTCTTGCACCCCCCAATAGCCTAAGTTTACATAGGAACACCCCAGACTTTACACACACTCCAATGTCTTTTAAAAGTGTGCTTAGGAAATTACCAAATGAAGGTGCCTGAGAATTTGAAATAGACAAGGGCACAGGTGAGATGCGGAAACAAGAGACCAAATGTGAGTGCAGAAGCCCTCCACCTCACCTCACAGCGGCTGCTTTTTACTTTCCTTAGAGCACGTAACTAACTCAGAGGAAGTGTTTTCTTAATTGCATTGCACATGTCAACATCTGTGACATACTGCGCTGGCCAGAATTCATGCTTCTGTCCCCTGCAAGCAGTTCATCTCACGTATGTACCAGGAGGCCTGGCTTCTTATGTGTTCTCTTTCTGTTCTACACACACACAGTCATGGCCATTTACAAACGTGTATAAACATGTACACATATGTGCACACACACAAGCACATGTGCATTTTCCTCCCAGCTTCCATTCTGATAGCCTTGTGCAGAGGTTTTGCCCTCTGGGACCATTGGGCTCCTTTCACACACACACACACACACACACACACACACACACACACACACACACACCTAGAAAGGGGGCTTGGGCTGTGCTCACATGTGGGCTGTGTGGGTGACATTGCAGTGCTGGACCCCGCTCTCCCCTCCCAGGGAAGTGCACCTCCCTGTCAGGACCCCCTCTTGCTCCCTCAGTCCAGCCAGCAGGATCCAGGCTAAGGAAGCCACACGCCATCCCGAGTGCAGGTGCCTGTCCCTTGCCACATACTAGCTAGGAAAACATGTCCCTACATCCCAGCGATCCATTCCTGAGTACAAGCAGACCAAAGGCCCCACCCCAGGAGCTCCTGGATGGGAAGAGGCTCTAAAGCCGAAGGAACAAAGGGGGCAGAGCCCACACAAAAACGCGAAAAGCGCGGGGACACTGTCTTTCCTGAGCACATTTCCTAGGATCAGCTCCTGAATGTCGTGATTGTGCTATTCTGGTCACCAGGTCACTGAGCATCAGCCAGGTGTCTGGTGGTCTGGAGGGAGCTCAGCCTGGGTCTCTGAACTCCCAAGTTCAAGGTGTATCTGCACTGACTGGTACTGGACTCACCCATCCACATTTATTTCATCCTGATGTAATTTATTGGCAATGCCATAGAACAGCAGGCGCTTGTGTTCTACATTTCTTTTGGAAGTTTCCCACTTAATGACTGTAAAAACAGGAAAAATATCACTTGGCGAATGCAATCTCACTGTTTTCAAAGCCAGAAGACAGGTGACTGGGAACGAGAGCAGTTCTGATACTGTGTCTAAACAAAGCTTTAATGAAGATGTGTATGTTGGAAGTATTATGAAAGTGTGATTCTAATTTTGCAGAAAAATGTCTATCAATTTATATAGCTTTATTTTTTACCTTATCAAGAGATATAGAATTTTAATATGCATATATTGTCTGACTTAAAATCATGTGTGGCTCCATTACCACTTAAAATGTCCACCTACGATGTCTGAATAAGAGAGACTCAAAGATGTATTTACCATGAATGGTTATCTGTAGCTGTCATCTTCATAAGTACTGGGATTTATTTTAAATTATCAAATATAGTAAGTACATTAAACATGTCATTCTCCAACACTAATGTTTAACTGATAGCCCAATAACCTGCTTTGAAAATTAAATTGTGAATTAAACCGGATCAGAGGTCTCGTGAGGTTTATGTTGTGTGCCTTTGCTTTCTGATACACTGGGTCTTTCTGCGGGAGGCTTTGGTTCACTCCCAGTGACTGAAAAGATGCAGCTCTGATTTCTTACAAACGTGTGTGGCTTCATGCTAACAGAAACCATGGTTAAAACTGTAAGCACACATGTCTGGGGGGGGAGGGTCACATCAAATGGGTATTGTGGGAGACAGAATCTTAGCTTTACTGAAGGGGGCACAGGGTGGTGGTGTGGTGGGTACTGCACTTCTATCCCTGAGCGTATGGGACTCTCTGGAGAGCCTGAACGTAAAGCCACACCGTGGTCCAGGCCTGAGGGTACATGTTGAGTATACCTAGAACAAGAAACTTAGCACCAGAGCCCCCAGGGCCATAAGCCTTCCTCACCAGCCCTCCTGTGCAGCCAGCCCAAGGCTAATCCTGTGCCCCACCTCTGGGACACCTCCCCTTTCCTTTATCTTCTGTGAAATGTGGGGCTCAGCAACCCAGTCTCACTATCAGGCAGCTAGCGAACTCCTCCATGCTATTCCCAGTTGAGTCAGACTCTGGGTGCTACGTGAGGAGCCCCAAGAATGCCCCTGAGTCTCTGCTCCTCTGGGCTCTTCACTGTCCGCCTGCTCTTGGCCCTGGCACCCTCTGCAGCTGGATGTCCTGGGTGCTGATGCTTCGGACATAGAATATCAGGATATATTCCTTTGCTGGGCATCTGGGGCCCAGCTCACACTTGAACACTCAGAGTAGATCACCTAGGAGCCAGGATCAAAAGCCGCTTTATTCACTTGAGCGGTTTCTAGTAAGAGTGATCTCAGGCTTTGGTATGATGGGCTGATATGATGATCAGTCCCTACCAAATCCTTGGCTCCTGGCCACCTGAGTGGTTCGCATTGCCCATGCAGTTCACAGTCCTGAACCTGTGGGGCCCTCCCTTTGTATCATATTGGCCACTTCTGTGTGTCCATGGACCACAGGGAGGAGCCAGAAATGCTTTGCAGAGCTGAGTACATGCAGCCTAAATATGCACTCGATGCTCTGCCTGGTAAAGTGAGACTAGGTTACCAATTCCCTACCTGGGAGGCAAGACAGCAAATCCCTCTGGGTTCTCCACCTGCTAGAAGTCTTTTGTAACTAAGAAATTCTTGGTGCTATCATCAGCTGTCTGTGCAGACGCGGGACCTGAGCAGGCATCTCTAGCTTTGGGCAACCTGTTTCAGTTACCTGACAGTAA